AGGAAACGTAGGAGTAGCGAGTGAGTATAAATATACATGTTAACATGTTCGCGTATTATATATTTATAAATTTATTTTCTTTTAAAGGACACGGAAATGGTGGGGCAGCAAGTGAGTACTGACAAATAGTCGTGTTCGCGTATCATATTATTCATTTTTTTTACTTGTTAAGAACAAGGAAACGGTGGAGCGAGTGAGTACAAATATACGTGATTATACGTAATTGTAGACAAATATACAAGTGAACAAAGTTCACTTGTTAGGTGCTTCTATTCGAGCGCTTTGTTAGGTTGTTCTATACGCTTGTGCCATATGGAATATGTGCTACAAGCCCCCCTCTGATCTATTCCTTTTACCGCAAAATATACTCTTGGTCAATTACTCGAACCCTGCGGTTGATGATTAAATGTACCACTTTTTCTATTTTCCTTTTGTTTTGTTTTTGTTTAGTTGGCATTGAAGATTTTTTTTTAAGTAATTCAAAACAGCACTTTTTAATTTGCTGATTTATGATTTATTTTACTTTTGTAGATTTAAGAATGCTGTGCTCAGCGTGTGGTGGCGTGGGACACACCCGCCACCAGTGCATCAGCACTGCCGCTGGCAGTGTGGAAAACTACGGTATTGTTAGAAATTTTTCAAAACTTTTGCTAGTGCTAGTTTATGGAAAATATGTTACTAATATCTTTTTTCTCTCTTCTTTACCTTTTAGCACGGATTATAAACGCTATTTCAAGCGGGCTTGTTGTTGTAAAGCTATAAGTTAAAAGGGAATATAGTGACTTTGGTTCACTAAAAGTAAAAATAAAATATGTATTGCTAACTAAATCGCTGCCTTGTCATTTTCTTTTTGTGAAAAGTACAATGGTTGACGGTAAGTCACTAGTGACCATTTAACTTATAGCTTTAGAACAAGCCTTTTCTCGTCACTTATGTCACTTATGTATTTGTGATTTATTAATAAAAGTCGATGAATTAATTAATTTATTATTTTTATTTATTTATTTGTTATTCTTTACATAAAAATATTACAGTTATTATCATGTATATTCTGATATTGATTAAAATATGAATAAATCCTTACGACTTTTTCGCGTCCTTGAAATTCATTTTTCAATTTCACTTTACACGCCATCGGTCAATAGACCCTTTCACTGGAAAAAATTGCGCGCTTTAAAGATTGTAAATTTGATGTCGATTTTTTCCAGTGTTTTAGCAGAGGGTCTCAATGGTGTCTCCATGAGCCGTGAAACGGCTGAAAATTTTGCCGTGAGCCGTGAATATTTTTTTATAGCGTGAGAAGTGGTTCAGTTTTGTTCCTCATAACGGATAGTCAACTTCAGGCGCTCGTTTGTCATTTTGTTCTTTTTTGTAAGTTTGAAAAATAAAAGATTTAGTGGAGATTTTTCAAAATTTTCGACCCTCCGGTCCGTGAAGGATTTTTTTTCTAAAAGGCCTTTCACTCCCTTACCTCCTAAAAATCCTAATGGTTCGCAGCTACCAACAAGAGTGACAAGACATTAATTGCAAGTCAGGGCATGAACAGAATCTGACATTTTAGAGTGATGACAAATTAAAAATTGTACATGAATAAATGAGTGTCTATAACGTACAAGCGGACATTATCAACACTATGCTTCAACACCTCCAACGGACTCACTTCTCAGAAGAGATCACGGAATTCAACTATTATTATAACAAAATAAAGCTTCACAAACATTCATGCATATCTTTCTTCCTCTGAAATCGTGTAGCAAAGGAATACAATCATATTTATATCTGTAACCATTCTCAGCATTTTGTCTGTATAACTGAATAGGTTGCCTGTGGCAATGAGGATTTGGCGGGAAATTCGCAGCGCGAAATTTCGACGCGAGCGTGCGGTGTAAACCTTTTGAGTTTGAAGCAATTTTTAGTAAGATAAGCTTATAAGCTAGTTAAAACGAAAAAAGAAGGAAAATATGAACAACCGAGATCTTGAGATATATAATTACATGGACTATTTGTTTGGAAGTCAGCCTGGAGATAAGTGGATATATGAGAACAACAGCCATTTGTATGAGTCTTTAACAGAATTGGTTTCAAAGGGTGCTTGGTATGATGGCTTTCCATCCAGCGAGGTCATGACGAGGAAAGGTTTTTCAGGTGATGTAGTAAAACATGACATGTATGATATATTGTACTGGAGGGTGGAATTCATAAGGAATCATTTTGATGTATACGCTAGGAACGGAGGAGCAATAGAAAATGTGAGACATGGCGGTGATTTTGATCCATACTTTTCATTACGACTGTATTGCCTAGAGCATTTCCCCAGTACGTGTGATGAAGAAATCGATAGTATATACTTTGTTGACGCCACACCGTCAGTAGATTCATGGTAATATGATTGTGATTAATTATGATTGTGGCTAAAGTTCTTATTTTTATAGGACTTATAGTAGTTAATAGAAATGACTTTTAAGCTTAACTTTAATAAGCAGCTCATCAGTCATCATCAAAGGTATGTGTCAAACGTTGATCCAAATTCAATTCAATTAGAGTTCAAACCAGGAGGACTGTTTTCGCACGTCAAATACTAAATAGTATGAAAAAGTGAATGAAAGACCAAAATCAAATATGTCTGACAATTGCTGAATATACTGAGTATATAAACTTCAGTTTGTAAATGTTCCGATTTAGTACAATATGTTGGCCTTAACCTATGTGGTTAACCTTGATAAACCTTTGTGGTTTAAACTTTCATTCTAAACAATGTTTGTGGAAATGAAAAAAAAAATATTTGTCCAAATAAATTAGCATGCATGTTAATAAAAAATTCCCTCATGTAGATGTAGATATAATACTAGCCTATGTGGCCTAAATATGTCATTGTTAACCTATGTGGTTAAAACTTAGCCATGACTTATAAAAGGATATATTTGAACGATCCTGGCAACAATGAGTCGAGCTGGTCACTCGATGAAACCCTCTGAATGGCAGAGAATAAGCCATTCAGGTAATACCTGAGGTCTATAAAATACCTCAGGGGGGACCAGGGAACCAATAAATCTATGCATTTATAAATGGTGAACTTCAAATCAGTTGATATTTCATGTTTGTTAGTACTCTGCTCTATTCTACTCGACTCGACTCGACAATATAGTCGGAGCTCCGCTATTAGGTGTTACCTAATTTGTACATTAAGTAATGTTCAAATAAGTTTGTGCTAACTGATTACACAGTTCGAGTTTATTGACAAGTTTTCAAGATTATTGATACCCGCCGCAAAGTGAGAACATTGTTGATAGTAGTATGATTGAATTTGGGTTGAAGGAGCAATAAGTAAGTTGTATGCAGGTTTAGATCGAATAAATAGTTTGAATGTTATACGGTTTGTGGCAACGGCTAAT